ATAATGTGATATTACAAGGGTTCTGGTTAATTCTTCCTTGTTCATTAGCCAGAGAGAAAAACTCATTGTAAGATACTTGTAGTTAAACCTGCACTCTATAGCTTGGATTTGGGCTGCTTTTTGTTTGGTTTGGTTTTCTCTTTTTCATTCATCAATATAGATATTAACTGTATGGATATCTGGTTGGGTTCTAAGTTACATGTAGACAAGTTTATTATATTGAAAACAAGTGTTGGCCCGTTACAATTTTTATATGATACCCTGCTTGTCAGGGTGTATCTAGACATGAAGAATTTGGTGTTTAGGGTAGACAGCAAGTTACACAACCCCTTGGGCTGTTAATGACAACACCTGAAATTAGGATGAACTGCCATTTCAATGCAGAAATATATGCTTGTTGTGATAGAAAAAATAATTTGAACTTGAAATAAAGGCTCTTGTTTTGAAATAAGGGAGTCCTTGAGTGGACTTAACTAACAATAGTCAATTCATATTAACTGCCAATTTATTTTTTTGGCATCTTATAATTCTGGGCTAGCTCTTTGCCTAACAAGAATGAAAAGGAAGAAGGAAAGAAGGAAAGAAGGAAAGAAGGAAAGAAGGAAGGAAGGAAAGGAAGGAAGGAAGGAAGGAAGGAAGGAAGGAAAGGAAGGAAGCAAGGAAGGAAGGAAGGAAGGAAGGAAGGAAGGAAGGAAGGAAGAACAATGAAAGTGTAGGGGTATGACTCTAAATACACATGAGGAACAGACGTGGCAAGTAAAAAGATGCTCACTTTTGCATACTTCATAAGTAAAAGCAAAGGCTAAGCCTGAGGGTGAAAAACTTGAACTGAACTGTCTGACTTATTACGGTGTACCTTACAATATGGTTCAGGGCTTTCTGTTTTCAAAAATTAGATCCATATACACCACTCAGAATCACAGGATGCTACTTTCATTTTTCTTTGAGCACCCAGGCTATTATCAACACTTACACAATGCTAGAGAAGATTTTGGATACATCAGTATTTGAAAGCACTGGCTAATTTCTGGCAAACTACACCAACTGCACGTCTGTTTGCTGATGTAACCATGTTATCTCTTATATAACTTGCATGATGCTCTCTGTATTGCAGGTGCAATCTGCAGTGCTGTGAGCCACTCAGATTTATGACAGGCAGCTGGCTACACAGATTAAAACCTGTCTGTCTTAATTTATTGTGAATAACCATGCTGTTTTGGTGAGCTAATGGTACTTTAGCTCACCAAACAATTAGTTTACACTAAACATTAGTTTAAACATTAGTTTAGACTCAGGGATTAGATGTCCTTCCTTTGTCTGAGAGTGGTTGATGGGTGTATCTTCCTGCTACCCATGTTTTGGGCAGAAATTTCTTTGCTAGTAGGTACTGCCTGCGCACCTGACATTCGAGCATTCATTCCTCCCAGGCTGGACTACTGCAGTGCTGTAGGTGGCTACATCTTGTCACATTTTTATAAAAATGTTTGCTGCTGTTGCTGCTACTAGCTTCTGACTCAGAGTGGAAGATTTCTTCCAGTAACTTGGTGTTTTGAATGGTGTTACAGAACACTGAGCAAGGTTTTTGTGTTTGAGGAGAAAAAGGCAATTGTGATGGTGACTACCCACACTTACCTTTCCTCTTTGCTTCACACACATGAATGCATTCAACCCTAATTTGTTGAACTGTCTGTTTCTGACACATGGTGAGAGAACTTGATATCCTATCTAACACTGGATACCATAAAAATTTTTGGTTGTTAAACAAGAATTTTCTGACTGAGTCATAAAGAAGACAGAGATACTTTAGGGAATATGGAAGAAATCTTCATCTATGTGATGAACTAGAAACCTGGGAAGTATGATACTTATCTGGAAAAAAAGGAAAAAAAAGATGACTATTCAAGATTTCGGAACCTCATGCATAAGACACATAATCCCAAGAGTATGTGACACTGTTCTTTCAGATTCACATCAGTCTGCAAGGTGCCAGTTAGAACACAAGGTGTTGGCTATGAGTCTAAAACCTCTGAGTGGGAAGGCATTCATTCATCTGAAAGATGTATCCACAGGGCACAGTACCATCCAGTGAAGGTAGACAACCTTGAACTTCATTCAAATATGAAAAAGTAGACAGAAGGCAGAACATTATTTGAGAGAGCTTGGAACTGGTAGTCCCAAATTTTCCTACTTCAAGGTGGGCTGCATCTTGGTGTGCTTGTTTCCTGAGCAATGAGAGGGAGGATGCTAATGGGAGTTCACAAATATCATGGTGCACAGTAGCTGACTGATTAGAATATATATTAATTATTGGGTGAAGAGGAGCTTTTTTAGAAGTAGACTGTTTTATAATGATATTTTAAATGTTTCATGGAATGCCTAAAGCAAAAGATAGCATTTCTTTTTAATCAGGATATATATTTGTTGAAATAAATGAATAATTTATTTACTTGCTATCTTGGTTGTATGTCTTCTTTCTGTGGATCCTTGTCAGGATGTACTTCAAATGGATATTTTTAGAGAGCAATGTTGGTCTTGGGGAATAATTGAAGCATAGCAGTAGGTGAGTTATATGTCCCTGTAGTTGGCCTTTGGACCTTTTGAATGTCAGTATTTATAGTAATTTCATTACTTGAAAACATGCCGTGGTGATTAAGTGTTCACATCTTTTATCCCAGAAAATCAATTGCCATCTTTGCCTTATCAGTCAGGAATATTGCAAGCCTTACTATGTTGTGTTCAGCTGTCTTCATGCTACACATAAAATAAATAGAGGATAATTTTTCCATCTGACTTTCCTTCAGTCTGGTTTTGTCTCTACTTTTGTTAATGCAGATCAGGTAGTATGACTCAAAGAAGTCTAAATGCACGCCTTCTAAGTATGTTTATGGGTATTTGTCTAATTACTTGTGTGTTTACTTCAATATGTGTATGCACATGTGTTTGTGTATTTATTTGCACGCCTGCATGTACTTGTCAAACTACCTTTCAGAGTTTGCTTTTAAAATGTTAGCCTGGATCTCAAAATTGCACATTTTTTTACCTTGAAGAAACCTATGTTAAATATAGACCAGTGAACGAACAAGTGCAATCCAAAAGTCTTTTAGTACTGAGCAGTCTAAATGAATGTGTTGAAGGGATAATGGAAACCAAGTATTTCAGTAACAAACTGAAACATCATTGGGATACCTTTGAATAGTTATACCACTTTACTGTATATTTCATAGTAAAAATATATCATATGACATAAATATTTGGGAAAATTTATCTGTAAAAGCATCGTAACGCTAAAACAAAATGATGCAGAGTATAGGAAAACATCCTCCATTGCTGTACATTGGCATAAATTAACTGAGTTCATCTGATAATCTCAATTGATGCTTAATTCATCTCCAGGAAAATCTAATCACCTTCTGAGATACTTAAAAAATGAGTTAATGGGTTAAATTCTTGCATCAGAGAATGAAAATGTTGTTCTGGATGCTTTTAGTACTCAGGTAGAAGTGTAATTAAAAAGGAATCTACTTGTAGTAAGATACACAGGGTTACCTAATCTTGCAATGATAAAGGAGTGTTGATAATCTAAAATTTTTAAGAGTATGACCTTTATTTTGAAAGCTCAGTGTGCCAGGACCTCTATCAATAACATATTATCTCTGATGATTTTACAAACTATTCAAAAATCTAAATTCTAAAAATTCTAAAACAAAGCAAAACAAAACAAAACAAAACAAAAAACAACCCTCCAGGAAATTGATCTAATTGATCTTGAAAAACACCTTCCCAAGAACCATGGGCTACTATAATCCAAATTTGAGCATTTTAATGAATAAGACTAACTTTATATTTTAGTTTATATTATTCACTGTTGTAAAGACAATAACATTTGATAGCAATTAGTTAAATAATAATGTACATCTGAAACCAAGCAATTTACTTCATTTGTAAACACTTTGTGATATGTATTTTTCTACAGAAAAAGCACTGTTAAAGATCCTGATAATCATCAGATCATTTTTTTCAGTGAAAAAAACAGAAATAGAGTGCTGGTCTTCTTGATTTTTTGCGCTAGATTTAGATGTCATTACACTGCAAATAAATATTTTACTGATAAAAACACAGTGCTAAAATAACATTATCAGGCTCATTATCTGAAGAGTCATCCTAGTTTCCCCTAATTTTCAAAAGTCAGGTGAGTGGCTGAGTGCTTAACATGCATACTAAGATACTGCTGTCGGATATGCCCATCATGAGCTAGTTTGTGCTAAGCCACCGTACAGATACCTGACGAGAGCTGCAGCTGCAAGTAAGTTTTAGCAGACGCAAATTATGCCTGCTTTTGGAAGCATGTCCAGAAGATTCACATTACATTTTAACATAGTTTCTAACCCTACTTCCTCTTTTTCATAGAGATGCAGGGCAGATATCTGGGACAATCTGTCTGGCCTTTTCCTAAACATTAGCCAACCCTCATGTCTATCCTCTCTTGAAGAGAGGCTTCTGTTGAAGACATTTTCCAGCATTTGTTATTAATATATTTTCTTAGGATTTTCCTATCAGTGTCATTAATGAAAATCTTAAATCCTGCCTGTCCCTGGATTTTTCTACTAATCAATGCTAGATGGATTTGCTTCAACACACTTCCTTTTTCATTAATATTATTTTTAGTTTGACTAACTTTATATATAAAATTGAACAGTTAAGATAGGGGAAAACTAAAAATCCCATCAACACATCATGATCAAGGTGTTACAGAGATTAGATTAAACATAAAAAGAAAAGTTGAACCAAACTTCATATTTAAATGAAATAAAATGTTTATGGAAGAAAACTGTGATGTAGAAGTACATAATGATAAAAACCTACCTGGCAGTTAGGATAAAACAAATGTAAAAATAAAAAATGTACAATGTCTTTCAATGAGCATTTTCTCCGAAAACTCAATAATTATAATATGTTTTTCAACAGTTTTTGTTTTTGTTTTTGTTTTTTTTTCCTTACAGTACTTGGGGTGCATAGAAGTCTTACGCTCAATGAGATCTCTTGACTTCAATACAAGAACACAGATTACAAGGTAAGACTTTGTACAAGCGTATTTTTAGTCACTTCTGAATTGTGTCCCCAAAGAGGAAAGGTCAGAAAAATAGCAAAACACATACTAAATATATTTGGACACCTCAAGTCTGCTTTTTATTTTGCTTTTACAGGAAATATCTCACCCAATACCAATACAGCTCCCGTGAAGTTTAAGGATCCTCCTTCCCCCACAAAATCCTCCTCTCCCCGTCCCCCCCATCAACACCATATGGTGTTGATTTCTTCTAGTGAATGGAGACCACAGTTTCAAATGGCCATAGACACATTCTGGCATCAAAGTAATGAAGCAGTCCCTTTCAAAGAAATGCACATAAAATGATATGAATTGAAACAAGAGTTGAATTTCAGCTCTTTAAGATGTCTTACTGTCACTAATCATAAATTATTTTTGTACTGTAGACAGCTAAATATTTCCTTTATTAAATGTGAAAAAAATATTTTCCTTTATTAAATGTGAAAAAAACACCTTATTTTTAGGCTTGGATGCAATTCGCATGAACTACATGCTTTGTCTTTGAGTTACACTTGCTTTGAAGGGGCCCCTGTGTGTCCTCTGAAAATGTTAATCATTTATTTGTCAAGATGTAGTTTTGATGAGGGACATAAAAGTACATGGACTGGTAAATGATAGAATTCTGTATTTCAGACAACCAAGTCTGTGGAGGTATCTGAGCATTTTCCTAGTCTGTTGTTTTAAACCCCTAGCATACATTTCTATAGTATTCGCAACAGTAACTTTTAAAAATGCTTTCATGTCCAGGCAGTCTTGCAGTTCCAATGCAGATGGCAGATCTGTTATTACCAACTGGAAGCTGAATGATACCGGCTTATGAAACAATTGTTATACCTTTTGGTTTTGTAGTATTTATCTCAAGGTGGACTGAATTCAGGATTTTTTTTTTTTTTCCTGCACAATCTCTCATACTTCATGTTTTCATTGGAATAGCAATGTGTCTTTCTTATTATCTAACTTAGAAGCACAAATCTACCTTTAATATGTGAACATATTTGGTGATCTAAAGCAGTATGATCTGCACAAACAAAGTATCTTTGTCTTACAGTTCTTTCAATACAAAATGTTTTTTGGCTTTTACTGTGAAACAGACTTGGAATCACATTTTTTCTGTTATGTTACAGCATATTTGTCTACATGCTGGACATTTTCTTGGCTCATCTTCCCTGATGACATCTAGAACACAGGATATTTTTTTCAAGCAGGAAGATATATTTTCCTGTTTTGTTCGTTATTTTGCATTTTCGGCTTTCCATTTATCATAAAATAATGAGGGCTTATTAACTCATTATTCTGATCATGTAGTTCCTGATCTAAAACTTATTTTAAAGTAGGAGTTGGAATTGGAATCAGGATCTAGCAACTTAATCTGCATTTCATAAATTCATCCAAAAATCTTCATTCCATGTCTTAAGTACACACGGAAAGCAGTCTGTGCTATACTTCATCAATTAACATTTCACATGCAAGCCTATTTTTTATTAAGGAATGATTAAAACTCACATTTGCTGATGTGAACTTGCTCATGTGCAATAAGAAGCATAATATAGGCCTTAAGGTATCTACTGAATTAGTACTGATGTTCTGATATTACAGGCACAAGTTCCCATGTGGATACAAGCCTGTATCACAACTGTTTATTATAATACAATCTTTTTCCAAGACTTTGTAAAACCAGTCATAGAAGAAACTGATCTATGTTGGGCCAGTATTACTTCTGTTATCATGCAGTATTTACTAAATAGCATAAAAGCCATTTAGAAAAAATGAACCAAGGTATCTGATCAGTGTGAAGGTCTGGATATATACTTTCCTAATAGACATGTGTTGCGCTTGACACATAAAAAATAGTCACTCTGTTTCTAGCAGAGCATCACATCCCCGCACCTACTTGCTTTCTTGCCTTTGCTTTTCTTCCACATTGCAAAGCTCCTACTTTTTTTTTGTTGTTGTTGTTTATTTGTTTGTTTTCTTGTCTTTTTGTTGTTGTTGTTGTTTTTATTTTCTTTTTTTTCTCGTGCCTTCTGGTTATGGTCAGTTTATCTTTCTGCTGGCCCTGAGCAGGACCAAATCCCCAAGGGAAGAGGAGCATCACCATCTCATAGAAGAAAAAAATCTTTGGCTCAGTCATGGGGTGGATAAGTTTTGTAGTCTCAGACACTGCTGCAAACTTTAGCCATTATTTTGTAAATCCTCATCCCAGTCCCAAACAACTGTGCAATTAAGTGAATTAGTGCTTTGTAAAGAGCACATGTGTCATTGATGAACATGAAATTACTTATAAATTTGGTTTACTATTTCCAGTTATCTAGTCAATTAGATACCCATATTACATAGGAAGCTAATAGGAACAGGTGGTCCAGATATTTTGTATTGCTTTGAAAATTCCAACCCTTATGACTAACACATATGCATATATGTCAGCGTGCATGCATGGACCATTCTGACAAATAAAAATCAGATTTCAACTCCAGGAACTGGATCAAAGCTGATGTGTCAACAATCAGGCCAGGGGTCTTTCCTTTCTTGTCATGAGGATAATCACAGCAATTACCAACCTGTGCCATCTAAGACCGTTGCACTTGACCTATGATTTGGCTTTGTTTCTCTTTTACATTTTTTTGTAAATTGAAATGTTAAACTTGTAGCAATACATTTATCTTTGTGTGAAAGCAGAGAACAAATACTTTCACTTGTCATACTCTTCATAAGATTTAACAACTTTGGTGGTGCCTGACAAAAGGTATTGTTATCCTAATTTTGGTTATGATCTGGGGAAAAATGAACAGCTATGTACAATTTATAAGAGAATTTTCCTTTTATTATTTCACATTTGAAGTTTCAAGATTATTTCACTACAGGACAACTAGAGTAGTATTAACCAGTTTATTGCATTTTTTCTTTTGTATAATGAATATAACATCATGTGAATTTTTGAGCAAATAAATGGATGGGGTCCAAGCCAAGGGTCAGCAGCTATGCATAAAGATAAATAAAAGCCAGCCAAATCCACATGGTGCATCATTAATTATGTGGTGACAATTCTTGTAACACATGTAAGGTCAAGATGACATTCTTGAACAGCAAGATGAACAGAAGCATTTAATTTTCAAAACAGAGGAGGAAAAGAAGGACTAGCAAGCAAGACTGCTCAGCTAACTGCAGGTGGCAAGTGGTCCTAAGTTCATCTGAAATCTACTCTCATCATCATGGAAAGGTGCTGTTTGGCCCCTGAACTTTTGTGGCCATGCCTTTATTGCTCACAATCTTTTTATATACTAAAGAGAAAAAGGTAAAATACTTTTGCAACACATGTAATATTTGCAATTCCTCTAATATGTTTTTATGCTTATTGTTTAATCTGTTATAGTGTAATGAGTCTTCACTACTTGAATGCATGTGTCTAGTTATGCACTGGATTGAATTAGAATAATGTTGCATGCACTGTTTGTTGTACAGTATTATCTGGACTACAGGGCTGCATGTTCACTGGCATCTAATTAAAAGCAATCAGTTTACTGCATGCAGCTTCAGAAAATCACACCTCCCTTTGCTTGAATAAAAAGGTTATATTGCATGCTGTGATAATGACAAGTAAGTCAGGAGTGAGATACTTCTTAGGAGCACTGAACTCAAATCCAAACTCTGGTCCTACTCCTCTCCTCAGTCACTGCTGGGCTGAACTATTTGAAAGAGATTTCTCTCCAAATCTGGGACCTGAGCCTATGTTTTCTAAGAGCGGAAATCAAACCCACTGATGCCAATATCCCAACCCTCAGGAGGGGAGATAATGCAAATCCAGATTTTAGATCGGGGTTCAAGTCCAGTACTAAATCATGTAAATGACATTTAGATAATACAGTGCGTGCCTCAAACATACCTGTATTCTTTGCAGAAATTCACAGTGAAAAGGACAGAAGACGACACTGAAAAGCAAGAATGCTTCTGCTGTCATTTCTGAGAACAAATAGGTACCATGTTGAATTTTGTGCTCAGCCTTCTCTGTATCATACCCTTCAGCCTAGAAGGTGCATGTAGTCCATTCCTGTTTTCTGCTGTATGGGCTCTGTGCATGGGGCCATGGTTAGGGGAAAGTGCAAGGGCAAAGGCAGTTTTTTTTAGACTTTTTTTTTTTCCATCTTACTTTTGTAAGGTTTCCTATGCCTTTCTTTGAAATGCTTGCTATTGGTGACTCTTTCAGAGAGGATACTGTACTAAATGATCTGAAGTAGGACACAGTTTGGAGGTTACTGTGATCCTGGTTCAGATCCTGTCCATCTCCCTGACAACTACCAGAATAAACAACCAGAGACCAGGATGAATGGAATAAAGCCTGAACATCACAAAAGAAGCTAAAGAATTAGAGCTACCTAACAATCTAGAACTCCAAGTACATTTTTATTTATTACTGTTACTTTTTTTTTTTTTTTTTTGGTCATCATTGACTTTACTCTTGATGTATGTAAGGTTGTGCAGAAGGAAGGTTTTTGTAAGCATGCATCAAGGCTTTGTATATATTTACATGATGTTCACAAAAGCTGTAAATTATTTCAAGACTTTTTCTTACATTTTCCCCAAATTTTGATTTTTAGAAGATTATCAGAATCTACATAACGGTTAGTTGCATATATATGACTGTGTTCCCAGCAGCCTCTTTGCTGTCACCTGTGTGTAGCATACGTTTGGCTTAACTATAAGGAAAAAAATGCTGTTTGTTCCAGTTTTACTAAGTGTCAAACTCACTGTTTGTGCATGCGGAGTGAAGAGATAACGTGTGCTATTGGATAAACAGTTTCACTGTAAATTCCTAAAACCAAACCACTGTTCAGAACTACTGTATTAGGAGAAGCCACCAAAACAGATGGACTTCTCTGTTAGTGCTAAACGAAACAGAGTGAGTTTCTGAAACTTGCACGTTACAAAAGAAGGTACAGATTGCATTGAAATTGCCTCAAATATCCCTT